CCCCAAAACCCCAAAACCCCAAAACCCCAAAACCCCAATGATATTGGTAGGATTGAAATTTATTTTTTGAGGGATAAGAATCTTGGCTTTGTCTTTGATCGGTTCCTCGCTATCAAAAGCACATTAATGCGATACTTCATGAAACTATACGCCAGGATGTATCTTAACTTCCTTCTAAGATGCAGGAAGATCATCTTTAGAGCTTTTTGGCTCTTGAACTTCCAATATTTCTTCATTTCTCTTTCAATCTTCTTTCTTTCTACAAAAAGATGCTCTTCGTGGATTGATCTCCTCTTGTCTGAAATTACATGTTGGGATAGAACTCTTGATTTATTTTTATCCCAGAATATTTCGAACCAAGTATCTTCTGAGCTATTTTGGTATCTAGTGTTATCTTGAGCCGGCTCTGAGTTCATCTTAACTAACAGTAACTCTCTGGTCTTAATTTGCTTATCAACTTTATTCTTGGTTCTCCATAAGTTAAAGTAGATCAGAAGGAGATCCTTGTAAGAGTACTGGTTGTAACTAGCAACATGCCAGAGGCAATACATCATCTTATGGAGAGCAAATACCATCAGCATTTGTCTATCCTTAGTATCATAAAATTTCTGAGGACTCTTGCCAGCAACTTTGAGATATTTTTGAAACATTTCTCTCATATTTTCGCTGTTCACATCAATTCCTTCTATCTGTATGTGCTTTTCAACAGGATGGTATTCGTTATAAAACTGCTCTAACTTCTTAATGGAATCATATTGGAGTAAGATATTGAGTCTTTCTTTTTGAATATTCTCTTCTTTATCAATAAGGATAACCTTTTCATCATTTATTCTATCAAGCTCAGCTCTTATCTCAGAGTTGAGTCTCTCCATTACCTCAACTTCGACTTCTAATTTATCTTTAGTTTTATTAGCATCGCTTTCGTTGAAAAAGCCACTGGGACGTTTGACACTAGAGGTCATGAAATCAAAGGAGTCTGAGTTGAAAGTTCCAATGAAGTTGCCTTTTTCTCCGCGTGCCTTTTGGTCAAGTATTGCTTGTCTTTCCTTCTGTATCCATCTCTTCTCCTCTTCTATAAATTTAGACTCTGTGTCAAGGACTCTCTTGATCCATTCCATTTTCTCTACCTTCTTGTTGGTAATGGCGAGAAGACTTTGGTTGCTGAGAGCAGACTGTTGATGAGCTGACCACTGATCTTTCATGCTTTTTAGAAGTGTATGCTCGTCACAATTAGGAACATCCTTTATCAAGACCTTTTGGATATCAATAATAATATCAATGTCCTCAAGTGCTTTGATGAGGTTTTCGTGAAACCCGCTTTGGGAATAATGCTTTCTGATCTTTTCAGCACTCATCTTAATGGAGGACGCTGGTGATAATGCATATGCTATTTTGCTATCCAATGGAAGTTCTAAATATGAAATCTCTATTATACCTCTCTTGATCTGCATAATCTCTTGGAAGCAATCAAATATCTTGCTAATTTTATCTCTATAATCAACAATAATGCTTTGGAATTTATTATTCTTCTCATCTTGCTCCCTCTTATATTTTTGGAGATCCCTTTCTGTGACAAGTAGATTCTCATATTTCTGTCGCATGACTCTGTACTCTTCTTTCTCACATTCAAGTTCCTGTATGGCTGCATCTACGTACTGGGAAACAATTGACATCTTGGACTTTTCCTTCAGTAAGATATATTCTAGTTTGACTACTCTATCTGCTGTGGCTCTTAGTTTGTCAATGTCTTCCAATGTAGAAATCTGGAACATTTCTGTACGCAAATATGCCTCAAATTCGATATCGATTTCTGGAGCTTTTATGTCTTGAATATTCGCCTTTTTGAAATGATAAACCAAGTCTCTTAACTTTGCATCTGATTGTAGCTCATTAAACGGGGAAAGGAGTAACTGCTTTTTCTTTGAAATTAGAATCTTGTTCTCATTCTCAACTTCTTGTCTGAGTAGTTCTATCTCTTTCTTCTGACTTTCTAAAGATGAAGAAGGTAAAATTACCGTAATTAAACTTGAACTGTTTCTCTTTCTCCTTGATCCTTTCATTAAGAGACAGAATATCGATTTCAATATTCTGCTTACTGGCAAGAAGGTCAAGTTCGGTCTCCTGGATTTTCTGAGCAGTAAGGTCAGTTTGGATATCAGCATGACAGACTTCAATAGATTTATTCTCCTCTCTGTCGTATAATTCAGCAATTCTAGTGTTTAACTCCTGGATTTTGTTGTTTAAGTACACACTGTTCTCCAAATTGGCTCATTCAAGGTCTAGGGATCAGAAGGGAAGTTTACCAAGAATCACATCTGCCTTCTGTTGGAGCTCTTTTCTTTTCGATTCAACTTCTTGCTTAGCAAGCTCGAACGCACCTATTTCTACCTCAAGTTCTCTCCTGATCTTGAGAAGGAACTGTGAGAGATCAGGAACTTTGTGAGCAACTTCATCTAGCAGCACGAATATCTTGTAAAATGGAGACTTTGGTAACTCTTCTGATAACTTATGAGACAAGATTTTAGTATCAATCTCATCAAAATGTTTTGAGTCAACTTGGATACACTTCTGGCTACTAAACTCTCCAGGATAAGCCTGGGCTGATTTATGAGCTCCATCTCCTAAATTATGACTAACTTGAGTTACTTAGTGGAAGAAGATAGTTGTTGAACTCTGTTTGCACCTCCCTGGCTTCAAGCTGAGGAGAGATCTTGGACTCAAAATTTCTCAGTATCTCATCCCGATTCTTTTCTATATCGCTCAGATAATTATCAGGAGTTAAAATAGGACTCTTTGAATCTGTATCAAAAGGGTCCTTCATTGTGACTTCTTCAGGATTTTTAATTTCTTCTTTAGGGTCATGATTGTATGAAATAGTCTTGTTAAAATCATGAATCTTGGAAAGATTGCTTGTTTCAGCCTCTTCTCTATAACTTTGAACACTATCTGCCTCATTTTTACTGACTAAGACTCTTTGTAATGACAAATTCTTATCTTGAAGCTTATTAACTTCACTACATTAAAATATTAACTGGCTTCTTACCTAAAATGAAGGATTTTCTCAAATGCTTCTCTATTTCTGCTCCTTTTTCCTGAAGAAACCATTAATAACGTCAAACAAGGCGAGTAGGGGATAGAAGTGCGAATCTCCGAAGCCGTCTTGATTATCATGATCATATTCAAACTCTCCCTCTGCTTCTTCATGGTAATCGATCAAGATCTCTCTTGTGCTGACTAGTTTGCTTTCCTCTCTAGAGTCCTCAGGATGGTCTGAGGAGCCATTGCTAATATTCTCCATTTCTTAATTTAAATTTGTAATTTTGATTTTCGGGGTTTTGGGGTTTTGGGGTTTTGGGGTTTTGGGG